TGCGGGGGTGCCGGTTCTCGGGAGAGGCGTCAGCGTTTGGGTGTCTGAAATGCCGCCCCCCGCCGGCGCCCCCCTCCGGCCGGGCGAGAAAAAAAAAAGCGGACGGGCGGGAGAAAAGGACACAGACAAGGAGACACCCATGGGTGCACCGGGGGAGGACTCGGAGGCGGGGCGGGGCCGGCCGGCCGGCCGGGGCCCACTCGGGGCAGCTGGCGATCCGCCGCATGTGGTGCCCCCCTCTGCCCGGCCCGGCCGGTTGACCCCAGCTCTGGTGGTTCTCCCGGCCGCCCCCCCCCGCCCCCCCCCCCCCTCGCCCGGTCCCCGGCTCCGGCCCCGGCCGCAGGGCCCGCCGCCAGCGCTCGCCACCCCGTCGTGAGGCCTGGCGCGGAGGGGGAGCCGGGGGGGACAAGTATGCAGGGCGCCGGGGATCGCCGGTGCGCCGATCGTCACGCAGTCCTGCCGGTTGGCGCCCGGCAGTCGGGCACGCATGCGCCAGGGCCCGGAAGCATGGGTGGGAAATTGCCGAGCAACGGGACGGCGCGCGGACCGGCTGCCGGAAAAGGCAGCCCCCGGCGTCCGGGCGCCGGGGCGCTCTCCGGCGCACTCACGGCTGGCTTCAGGGGCGCGCACGCACGCACGCACAGCCCCGCCCCCCCCCCAGGGCGAGAGTTCCCAATGCACTTTTTGCAACGCGGCCCCCCCGACCACCCCGGCGCCCCGGCTCTGCCCATCCGCCCGCGAGACATTAACCGTAAGGACGCCTCTCCCCCGCGCGCGCGCGCGCCGGGTATGCGCGCTCGCCGGCGCACCCCCGAACCCTAGGACTCTCGGGGCCAGCGGCCGGGCGCAGCCGGCCAGGCGCGCAAACGTGTTGCCGGGGGGCGGGGGGGGGGGGGGGCCGGCTGCAAGCGCAGCCGCGGGGGCGAACATGACAGCGGAGCCGTCCGTTGGAAGGCCCCGCCATGGCCGCCGGCGGGAAAAGAGCCCCGCCCGGAGGAGGGTCTGGAGCTGGGCCTGCCCCCGCCCCCTCGCCAGGCCCGGTGCGCGGGGCGGGACGCGCGCGCGCGCACTTCCCCGAACCAGTAACCTCCCACTGGCGGTCCCCCCGGGCCGCGCACACACACACACACACACACACACATGCGCCCGGGGCACGCAACGCCGTCTCGCCAGGGGAGCAGGGCACCGGACGAGGTGGCTCCCTCTTTCAGGGGCCCTCTGCCCCCCCCCCCCCCTCTGCACCTCGGCGACCCAGGCAAGGGGAGACAGCGAGGAGGCCCCCGGGGGACCTCCGCACCAAAACACCGACGCCCGTCTCCCCCTGCCACCATCCCCCGATGGGGGGCAATTCCCGCCGGGCGCCGGCTCCAGAGGCGCAAGCGTGGAGGAAGTCGAGAAGGCGGACGTCCACGCACGCGCGCGCGCGCGCGCACACACGCCCGACACCCCTATGTGCGGCATAATGCAGGGGGGGGGGGGGCCGAGGACGAAGGCTGCCAGCAGGCCCCGGCGGCAGGGGCACCCGGCCCCAGCGGCCTCCTCCAGAACCCGGCGGCCCGCGCGCGCCCCCAGGGTGCCGAGGGTTGTGGCGCGGTTCTGAACTGGGGTTCTCACGCGAGTGTGTAGTCATGTGTTCATATATTACAAGGCCGGTCCGGACAGCAACAAGGGGAGAGGGGGGGAACGAGGGAAAGGAGGGGGGGGGGAACGGGGGGAGGCCGGCGACAAGCGCGCGCCGCGCCGGGATGGGGGGGGGGGGG